AAAAAAAAAAAAACAATTAAAAGAAAATTCAATTATTCTAATTAAAATTCACGTTCTCTTTTATCATCGTATCTATGACAAGAGACAAGAAAAAAAGTACTTTCGTAATTTTATTCCAAATGGACAAATTATAATAACAAAAAAAGGAAAGAAAAATATTCTCTTTTACTCTTTCTCTCTTTTTACTCTTTCTCTTTCTTTTTCTGTCTCTCTTCTCTCTCTCTCTCTCACTCTCTCTCACTCTCTCTCTGTCTATCTTTTTCACACACAGTTTCCCAATAACGTACGATTTTCTTGATATATTTTTTTTTTGTAAATTTACCTTTCCATTTTTCTTTCGTTCAATTTGCAACTCTTGTACCATAAAAGCAATATTGCGTAGAACAGATTCTATTGACAGCCTTAAAACAAACAAACAAACAAACAAAATAAAAAATAAAGGATACGTGTCGCGTATATAAATAATAAATAAATAAATACATACTCTATATATATAAATATATATATATATATAATAATAATATAATTATATCTAATAATAATATAATTAGTCTTCGATGCGTACGTGCGAATTTAAAAATTATTCTATCATTCTATTACCATTATCATTATCATTATTATCATCAGCATCATCATCATCATCATCATTATTATTATTATTATTCATTTATTATATTTTATTTGTCTCTGTAGCAAATTTAGAAATATTTAAAAATATTCCTGCGAAAGGGAATAAAAAAAGAAAAGGGAAAAAAACTTTTGTAATATATACCTTCGATAAAAAGTAATGTCGCATAAAAATCGTGCATAAAAATAAGTGCATAAATGCATAAATACATAAATACATATACATATGCATATATAAATAGAACGATATAAAATTTATATTTTCTACGTAGATCATCTCGATAATTATGACACACAAAAGATAAAACAAACAAACAAATTAAAAAAAAGTAAAGAAAGGAATAAAAAATCGACACTACAAGACTTAACGTTTGCATTACGTTTAATTACGCGTGTAATACTATTACACATACGTACTATAATTTAAAAAAAAAAAAAAAAAATTACGTACGCTAACGTATTCGTCTTAAGTAACGCATGCTGATCAGCAATAGCATAGTAATCTCAAATGATAATTAGATGAAACGCCGTATTATTATCATTATTATCATTGTTATTATTATTATTATCATTATTATTAATTATTATTATTATTATTATTATTATTATTATTATTATTAATTAATTAATCTTTTTATT